TTTTTTCTAGTCAAGGATACATTTTTTCATGTCAAAGACGAATTTTTTATCGCAAGGATATATTTTTTAAGTCAATGATATATATTTTTATGTCAATAAAATATTTTTCTTCACGTCAGTGATAGATTTTTTAAGCCAAGAGTGTATTTTTTCAAGTTAAGGATATGATTTTTTGAGTTGTTAATAAATGAATGAATGTCATATTTTTTATTAAATTTTTCTTATTTATAACTGAAAAGTGTTGTTTTATCATTTTTAAACGAAAAATATGCAATTGTCGTAAAGTTACCAAGGGTGGGCGCCTTGCCCCAAGCCCATGGGCCCATTGCCCCAGGGGTGGGGCAATGGGCCCATTTTGACACTTTTTACAAAATAATGTTTCATTAAAATTAAATAACTCTATAGGCGTCTAATTCACATCATACATTCCTCATTAGTTATACCTTTAAACAAAACAAAGAATAACCTCGTATTAATTAAAACTTCATAAAAAATTTAGTTTATAAAAAGGGGGGGCCCGCTGCCCCATGTTGCCCTATTTCGGTGCTCTAGAATTGGTTTTCCGCGGTCGCTCCTTATGGTGTCGTAATATTCGTCTGAAAGATTTGCCTAGAAGATTCCTTCAAAGAGAGTCTTGCACACCACAATTCTTCGGCGAGTTTTGCATATTGTTAATCTCATATCAATTCTAACTTCAACCTATCAACACTAAAATTTTATTGCTGTACTCACGACAAACGATTTAGTCATTTACCATCTCTAATGAGATCCCTTAAATATGTTAGGGTATGATCTACGGTATCACTATAAATACGGAACATCTGTAAGTATGCATCCTATATTGTGTATTGTGTTTCAATGTTTTGATACAAGCATCATTTTCAAAAGAGTACGAAACACAAAATAAAATTATAAGTTATACAAATTTATTAAAAAATAATAAATTTACATGGAGTTGACGTCACTTAGGAATGATTATAGCGATATTTTCGAGTCATCACTCGGCAGCAGCCAGCGTCTTCACTCTAAACTTGTCCAAATTACTGTAAGTTTCCTCGTAGCTGCGACATGTGCGCGTAGATCTTGTCTAATATCGACATGACGAGCTGCAGCAAACAGTTATTTTTTGAAAAATTAAGCGTAACAGAAGCTAATTAAGCAGATTTATGGTAATTTCATGAACTGCGCTTTAAATCTAAACTTAGTACACAACGCGCCAGTTAAATTAGATAATATTGATATATTAGCACAGTTTAATTTGAAAATAATACTGAGCTTCATCAATTTATCAAGTTTCAGGTATAAAAATTTCATTGTAGACCTTGCCGTTACAGCCGATATACGTAAGTTAGTGTACTTTTTTAAAAATTCTTCGATTATTACAAATGTCAGCCATCGCTTCCCAAGGGGTACCTAATTTCATTAAAATAAGAACATAAATATCAGCAATACAATAGATAGGAACTTCACAACTCAACATTCAATTCCCTCATAATCAGTTATACTCCAAGAATTACTGAACGTTCTCGCGCACATGCAGAAGCGTAAACTATAAGAAGCTATGCACAGAGCTCCATGTCTCAGTGACATCCATGAGAGGTTCGCTAATTAGGCGATGTGAAGCTTCTTGAAGCTGTCATACGCGAGCCTCCTTCGGCAATTAGCCTGCCACTCCAACAGACTCCAGTTATCCGCTTGGTATCATTGCTACCGCGACTGCATCACCAAAATTACAGCGGTTACGCGCTTTGTTCTGAAACTACGAGCAATGCAGAGTTACTTATCTGTCCCGTAAATAGTTTATCGTGGAAGGCACACGATGCGGCTGATTGTGCTATTCTTCTATTTCTTTATGCGACATATATCTGGATAATAATATAATAAATTTATATTTTCAAATTGAAAATTGCTTGATATATATTATAATCAAAACTTTTACCCAGTTTACTTTTTAAAATGAATTTTTAATATTAAGAACCTCACAGGAGAGTGAAAAACTAAAAATAACTCTATCTATCTTCTTCTATCTTCTATCTAAAATAAAAATTTACATTCCACAGAAAACTCTTTTAAATTATATTGAAGACCTTCATTTCACATCATAAAAGTTAAAACTTGTAACTACATTTTTAGGTCGCATTTTCCAGTGCGCACAACTCTTAGAAACTTTGAAAATATACGAAGAAAAAATAAATTATAAGATCAAATCATGTAGCAGCGAGTGGAAGACCAAACTTTACAAGATGAAGGCAAAAAACTAAGAATAAATTGTTGAGCTAATATCTAAAGACTTGTATTACAGTGATAAGAGAGTGAAAAAAGTTCACATGCCTTCATACGCAATAATACGTGCCGAAAAAATGCATTTATACAATAAATTGTGGGAAATAATCAGTTTCGCTACATCGCAGCTATTCGAACAACACAATGGGAATATGAACTTGGCAATCGCATTCTATGCTCGAACAATTTATTTATTAAATGCACGACAAACGGAATGATTCGGGCTGCAATTTATGTTCAAGCAACACGCATGAAATTATTGTATCGTCATTATCGAGAAGCCTCCTCGAAGTAGAATAGATATTTTTTTTATAATTTTATAAAAAAACTACCCATATATAATCTCCATAACAATATCCAAGCTGGCAAAAATTGAACAATAGTATTAAATGAATCACGAGCTTAAATATCGCTTCCAGGAATGATACAAGTTGCCTTGGCACCTTCAGCTGATACCTGTCAATTTTATTTAATTGAAAAAATCACTGAATACTTTGTATATGAAGTTGTAATATAATATTAATTTGTATAACGTTTCTAAGTGAGTGATATTTGTATATTTGTTACCTTTAAAACTATCCTACAATAAAATTAGTCATGTGATTTTTCAGTACAATCATAATTAATCAACAATAAAATTAATTTACATAACTTTGCCCATCTTGAAAGCCTAGGTTATGTGATCAGCGTCCTGAAGTAGAATCAAATAAACGAAAGGTCGAGTCGGTGTTGGCTTATGCATTAGCAGGCTCGAAGCAGTTTAAACAATTCTATTATGAAAGATACATTCTTCCCAAACCAGTCGAGTGAAAGCTAATAGAATTACGAGTGGCTAAGCTAAATTCAACAATAAATTATTCCAGTCATAATGCGATTGAACTAATTTAAATTAAACTATGAATTTATGAGGGGAAGAGACTGAGTGGAAAATAAATTTCATTGAAACCATTAATTTCATTAGAATTTAGGCGTCCAAATGAATTAGTTATTAGTATTTTCTGAATTTAGGCAACTATATACCTCGAAGAAGAATCTATTTTTGGAATTGCAATTTTCGTTAAATTAATACACAACCATCCAAACTTAATTAGGTGCTGACGAAATTTTTACAATGATGTTTTTTTTGTGGCAGCAAAATAATTTTTTCCCTGTATGAAATGTTTTTTTTCATAGAATTATTCTTTTCTGAAATTTTTTACTCCTACTGTTCGAGAACGAAGTACTGTTAAAAAACTAATTCTTCGAGTATGCAGAAGATATTGCATGGTAACCATGCACTTTTATTTCAAACTTCTAGGAACAGTTTTCAAGAGAGTATATAGTACTGCAATACAATTTGAAAGGCTTCTAATTATTATTACTATTATTATGACTTTTTACAGGAACCGTTTAGTGCACATTTGGCAATTTTAGGCAATTTATTAACCAGTAAATTAAATAGTTTGACTTTTTCGATAATATTGGCGGCCAACGATTTCCTATTCGTTATCAAGAATTTGTAATTTATTATTATTCATCATTCATCCATTTATGGTGACAATAGCATGCACACTAGCTTTTGAATTCGAATTCTGAATGTATTTCCGCAACGCAGTTTTGAATTTTCTGCAGTCAGCCCAGTTGTCGTGCTGGCAGTCGCAGCGGAGGAGCTGTCAGCCCAGTTGTCGTGCTGTCAGCCCAGTTGTCGTGCTGTCAGCCCAGTTGTCGTGCTGTCAGTCGCAGCGGAGGAGCTGTCAGATAAAACCCTGCTTACTGACGTTCTCTCAAGTCATTCTCACTAAGATCCTTGCTTACTGTTCATCGTTACCACACACAAGCCTTTGCATTTTTAAATTTCACTACTTTTATCTGCAGACTGTTTTTTCCATGGAGTACTATAGCCAATTTTATTAATATAATTAATAGCATACAAAACTCAGTCGATTAAAAAAAATTAATGTATCATTGAAGCAACAGATTAATTCGGCAACGACAGCCGAAAAATTTCAAAGCTGACTCCTTCCGAAATTACAGATCTGAAGCCATATCATTGTAAAGAATTTTACTGAACATACTTCTCCCGTATACATAAGGTTGGGACCTTTTAGGTAGGACCAGATATCGAGTTAATAAGCTCAGACAAAATTCATTTTGAACCAAACTTGACAGAGATTGTTCAGCAATTTGGTACGTTATCATTTACTTATGTTGTGATCCTTTTATTGCTTGTTAACCTTGGCTATTTTCTCTATATTGTTTATAATCTCGAATAACCTCAATTTGTGTTCAAATTGTTCATTCTTTGTTTTCAGAAACCGTTACAATCTATCAACGCGTTTTCATTCTGAACGATCCCCCGAACAAAGAGCCATTCTTTATAATAATAATAATAGAATTAATTCAAAGTTTAATTTGTGTTGGTTGCCATATTTGCTAAAATTATGAAGCGTCGTTTTCCTTAGTTCTGAAATCCCAAACATGTTGATTTGAAACTATTCAATCACCTCCATTAAGATGTGGCCGCAGGTTGCAGTTATTACTATCTATTTCTTTTTATTTGAGCACTGGATAATTTGACCTAAATAGGATCTAGTTTGTGTCTACTAGTTAATGTCACATCTGAAAAGCAGGTTGAGGTTGAGCCAGTTTCTGTCTGCCACCTTAATTCTGTCAACCTTCTGCAGGTGTGGATAATAAATAACCAAGTGCAATCTTGAAGGTTTCATTAATCACCCGTAATTGCACAAAAAACGAGTCCTTGATATTTTATGGTACTGATAAAAAGTATATTGCTTCATGGTGATCTCACGTGCCGACTACACTCAGACGAAGCTTGTCTATGTGATGAAATTGAATTTCAGCTCATGACTTCATTTAACATCAAGTTCAGTACTTGCCTACAAACTCTTCAAAAACGAACTCATTTAAAGTCCTGAAAACTTTTCGAAAGGCCTGCAACTAAAAAATTCCACAAGAAATTAGGTTACGGCAACGAGCTAAGAACCGAAAAAGTTGGCTACTCAGGATATTTTCTATTGCAAACACACTTTTTGTTCCTTTGAAGAACAAAATGAATTCATTTTTATTACTCGCCATTATTAACTGCCGAAGGAGTGCTCATCAAGGAAAAACTCAAATTAACATAGACTAATAACGTGCAACCCTTGGAATAAAGTCACTGAGCCAAGAAAATGTCTCCATTTTTTTTCCCAGCGCCCGCCTCATTATTCAAATATGTTAAGCGTCAAACGACGGCGTCGATAGAACATCAAATAAAAATAGTTATCGAAAAATCCCGTGCTTTAAGTTATGCATTGTTTAATGGAGAAGTGCATTCTTCACACGGTAAAATCTAATATGTATGGAAAGTCTCATTATTATTTACAAAGAATTAGGGGCACGAAATAATAGAATACTAGTCAGGATTTTGTCGCTTTTGTAACGAAAATGTGTAATTTCAGTTTGCATTTTCAGCATTTCAACAACGGAATGAATTGATGAATATTTTTCTTCTTATTTTTGTTGGTACTTTCTTCTGAAGAGTTATCAATATACCGTCATCCCATAAATAAATTGATAAAAATCTCTGCACATTAAAATTATTTGATAATGTCTTAATGTGAAAAATGTTGTAGACCAAAATTAATTCGTGAATTTCCCAATTTTGTGATCCTATAAGTCAATAAGTTGCAATGGCTGGATGTTCGCTTCCAAAATATACATCTGATCAGCTCAGGCTACATCTTCATACAAATAGACTAAATTCAGACAGGAATTAATGTATGAATTAGTAATTTGGTTATTTATGCTGCATTCAATTATCCGTCAAAATGCATTCAATTATCCGTCGAACAGTTAACACAGTCGAATACCGTAGTATGGAAGAGGAATTCAATTATTAAATGAGAAATTTGGCCCGAGGCTTAACTAATAGATGCATGTGGGAAAAGTTTCCGATAAATTGCAGCACTCCAGTGAAACATCTAATAATGGAAACCTTCAATATAAAAAAGTAATTTCCATAAATGCTAACTGCAAATCAGAGTTAAATTTTTTGTCATTTCAGTTAATTGTGTTATGAGTAAATCACAGAACTAAAACTAGTAGTTGAGAAATTCAGCACATGTTGAGAATGATATGGTTACCCATCATGACATTTTCTGGGATCAGTAATGAGAAAATTGAGCGTTTAGGTATGACCTCATCAATCTAAGGGACGAAAAAATACTCATAGAAATTCGTGTAATTAAAATTAGTATGTTTTTCACCCATTAATAAATAATACGCTAGCGTGAAAGATAGAATTTTCGTCAGAATTTGTATTGTATCTCACCGTTTTAGTATCGAGGCTAGAAACAAAATAAAAATTGCTATAAAATAAAAATTGCCTCTGGAGAATTTTTGGTTGAATAATTTACTGGGGACAAGAAGTTTCAGCCCCGTTGCCGATATTCACTTACAGAGAAAATGCCTGAACATATACATTGGAAATGAAATGTTATTCCAGATGTCTGTTTGATACACACCGAGGTCCGTTTATTTTCTTCAATTGCGATGAATAACGATTTGAATAGTAAAATGTCAAAGTTCAGATTGAGTAACCTACAAATAGTAAATCTGAGAATTGATACAGAAGGCTGACGAATGTCACATTCTACGTGTATAGTGATTACGGTACCACTTCAAGAACCGCGTTTTGTTGAGTAACATCTAAGTGCAGAAACCTAGGTTTTTTAATGAACCACTCGTATTAAAGCATCTTAGATTCTTAAAGATGTTAGAGACTAATTGGGATCAACGATGTACCAACTGAAAAATTGTTGATTACGACTTGCAAACCAAACATACCGTTGAATGCTTAAAACAGTGAGGGAATTCATTTACTTTCCGACAACACTTACTTTGAATGATGACTTTTGTTAATTATTAGGAAACGTTATACATTCGAGACCTGATATTCGTCCAATATGCGTTGTACCGCTGCACCACAGTGGCTCTGAAATGAAATACAATGAATAGCGTGCTTTTATACTAGATATACACTCAAAAAATATAACTCAGTACTCAATGCAGTGAGTGACAGAGAGCGCATTTTCTCGTTGACGAAAACTTGAGGTCACGGACAGACGGACGGACGGACATGGCGAGCACAATAGTGCATTTTTTCCATAAATGAGAAAATGCGCTGAAAAACGAGCAGGTCGTATTGTGACAAACATTTGCTCGTAGCTCTGATATGACATTTCGTAATAAATTTGGGTCAAGATGACCCACTTTATTATTTATTATTACTTTATTACTTTATTTATTAAATTTATTACTTTATTTATTAGCGAATTATTTTTTAGCGAGATGACAGGAAAAAGTTGAACCAAATAATTTGAAATGGCTCAGAATGTTCCAGGCACTCGAGCTAAATGCGAATCAGGCTATAATTAAAAATAATTATCTAAAGGATGTTTACGTCAAGCTCTGGTATTTTGTACGACTCACTGAAATATCACCGCCCCGCGATGCTGAAGAGGAACCCACGTCATCGAAACTTGACGCTTATCCTCGGGACTTTTGTGCGACACTGAATTCTGCCGGACAAAAAGTTACCTTGAATTAATTCTGTATTCGTACCTGATATACAGGGTGTCCCAAAAAAACGATACCCAACTTTGAATGGCTGTAACTCAAAATAATAGAGTTAAAAAATTTTTGGAAGGTCAGGATTTGTTTCCTATGTTTTTTTTTGCATCTCTCCACCAAAAATCAGACAGATCGATGTAGCCATAAGCGTTTGATAGAACTTTCAGTGATATGTGCTAAAATCGTGCTTGCGCAAAGTTTTAGTAAGATCATTTTGCATAATCATTACGTTGTCTTGACATGTTTTCTTTACGCTGTTTTATTTTTTGTTTCTTTAGTGAGACAAAAACATGGCAATTTTTGGTGAGAGACAATCATGACAATCTTTGGTGAGAGGCAATCTTTGGTTTTGAAATTTCCTCTCACCAAAATTGCCATGATTGTGTCTCACCAAAGATTGTCATGATTGTGTCTCACCAAAGATTGTCATGATTGTCTCTCACAAAGATTGTCATGATTGTCTCTCACCAAAGATTGCCATGTTTTTGTCTCACCAAAGATTGTCATGATTGTCTCTCACAAAGATTGTCATGATTGTCTCTCACCAAAGATTGCCATGTTTTTGTCTCACTAAAGAAACAAAAAATGAAACAGCGAAAAGAAAACATGTCAAGACAACGTAATGATCATGCAAAATGATCTTACTAAAACTTTGCGCAAGCACGATTTTAGCACATGTAACTGAAAGTTCTATCAAACGCTTATGGCTACATCGATCTATCTGATTTTTGGTGGAGAGATGCAGAAAAACATAGGGAACAAAATAAATCATGACCTTCCAAATTTTTTTAACTCTATTACTTTTCGAGTTACAGCCATTCAAAGTTGGTATCGTTTTTTTGGGACACCCTGTATATAATTGAACAGTTAACGGATAATTCTAATGAACAATTAGAACACCTAGCGAAAAGTCATTACGAAATGTGCAACGAACATCTTATTTGAATAAACTTTAACAAGTAATTTAATAGAGGCTACCGGATCTGTATAACCCGTATCTTAATCCGTATACACACACCCTCTTCGTCACGCGCATAATTTGCCCACCGCCTTCCACGCTCAAGAACTCGCCGACCCTCTGGTCGTCTTTGTCGCGGGCCTGCAGGAAGAAGCCGCGGAAGGTTTCCGCCACCGACGTCAGCATCACTGCCAAACAAGAGGCGCGTTTGAGAAATGTGGTTGAAAATTTAGTGTCAGCCCTGTCAGATTCAAAGTACCAAAAATATGTACAGTCTTTATACACAGATCGACATACCGTCTATATTGAAGCATGCAATCATGATTAAAAAAAACTAAGTTGTAATTGGCCGCAGGGCTACGTGTGACGCTGCAGTCATCCTTCCGGTGTGCTGTCAAGTACGAAGTAGGTTTCCTCATATAATCAAGAGTTATTGTAACGGTTCAGGAGTAATTTTAATTATCAAGTGTTTGTAGCAAGGCAGGGTGTTCCAATGGATAAATTTTTGAGTACCGCGACTGGAACAGCGAGTTGCGGGCTCGATCCCAACTTCTGTGACAGTTGCGGTCTAATATACATATAGGCGATGTGGCCGGACAGTCAAGAACCGACGACAGGCCTCTATGGCCTTATCAACGCTGACACCGTAGTATAATAGATATATAAGGCAGTCATACTGTGTTTGGTTACCTCTGATGGTGCTATTGTCTTCCTTGCTGGCGTGGATGACGAATGGAGATTGGCTGCGCTGCGGTCCGAGGGTTAGGTGAAGAGGATACATGCTGTCGCATGCAAGACATTTAATCAAAGTCCCAGCCTATACAAATTTAATAGGTCAAAGAAAGCTTCACAGGATCCACATTGACAACCTGACGTAAGTAATAGCTATTACCTGGAAGCCTTGTTATTTTATTTCACGTCTCTTATATATTTCATTGTAACGATATATTTCATTGCCTATGTGAATAGATAAATAAATCAAAAATCAAAATAAATATTGCAGATCAGCAAATTTGCGTACAGAAAAGAGTTGCCTCGGACAGCGCTACTGTTGAGTGCAAAGTCTGCATCCACACTGATGCTGGAACCCGGCTGTTAGCTCTCCGTCCAGTTTGTTTGTTAAACAATAGAATACAAAATAAAAAATACCCTAATATATACGCAGTGCTTGGGAACAAACCTGGCCAGATACACAACTAGAATGGAATTGTAAATCAAGTGACTTTCTACCCCGGATAAGGTTAGAGGCAGAAAGAGAAATCGTTCTAATGTCTTAAGACGAGGTGTGGAAAGTAAGAGTATCGAAGTGATGTGAATATAAATTATTGGACAATATTCTGCTTGAAGCATCCTAATGAGCCTTAACGAGATTATTCAGCGGATCGGCTCGTGAACTGGCTTGTTTCGGGAAACAGACAAAAAATTTATGTGTCAAATAATAATTGTACAATATTTAATTTAATTTAATTGTACAATTGTTAATTTAATTTAATTTAATTTTAATTTACAATTTAGTTAATTGTGCAATTATAATTGTATAATCATATATAATTGTAAATTTGTAGGTTACGGTGCAAAAATTACATTTTCATTTTTTCGCACTTTTTAAAATTTAATAAGGAAGTACCGACAGTATACATTTTTGCCGGACACGCCAATTAAAAAAAATTAAATCGTGGACTTTGTCTGAAAAAAAAATAACTGTGCAACCCCCGGGTGGGTCGTGCTGAACTCGCCGGTTTAATAGAAGTGAAATTAAACGCTAAAAAATGTACAACCCCTCGTAGTCCAGGTTTTAATTTCTCTCATCGATTTCAAAACTTTGAACATTAAATCATCCATCAGTGTAACCATTGGAATGTTTAAGTAATCAGTACCAAATCTCCACGTCGTTTGTCAAAGGTTAAACTCTATATATTGCCCGGACGCTTCGTGCAGATCGCACCACTGCACTGCATTGAGGCCGCGGACTTGAAAGAAAACTCGTTGACCTGATGACATCCTGCGCAGTTCAAAGTGAAAGCAGGGACAATTTCCTGTGAATTTCTTCGGTCAGTTTGCCTTATTGCTTGGCAGCGTTTTCTGGGATTGGTTTGCTAGCGTCACACTAGGCGAGTCAGTCAAGGAATTTACTTTTCTTCGGGATCTCTGCCGGCTACGGTAAAAGATTTATCGTTGAAGTAAACATTTTTATCATAGTTTCGATTAGTGGATTCTTAATTTGTTGTTTAATTATTTCTACTCAACACAGTATATACGACAATTTTCTGAAGTTTGCCATTTTACATATTTTATTTTAGAAATCTTACGTTGTACAGTTATACAGTTATGATCAATTTATCATTAAAAGTGCTAATTTCGTTGTACAAATACTTCATTTTTCAAAAAGCATGAAGTCGCTGAAATTTGTAGAATTTTCTAGAAATTCTATCTGTTATAAGAAAAGCTTTTGGGAGTACATACTGCTGATCCTGAAATAAGTGGAGAAACACCTCATCAGATTCGAGGATGCCTAAACAACACACACAAAACTTCATGCCAGAACTCTATTTGTCACGTGGTTCACTCAACTAATTGGGAGGCAGGTAGGAGTAATCCATGCAGCTTTCTCACTGCTAATGTTGCACCTAAATTGCATGGGTTCTTTCATATTTAATCCCGGCTCACATGAAGAGCCCGACCTTAATATTGTCTGACTCTTTATTTACTAGCAGTTCTCTAACGACAGCACATTATACAGCATAGAGGAAATAATAGCATGTTAACTTCACTAGTTCCGATAACGACACTTTGGTCTCAAGTCATTGAGTAACTACTCTATATTGGAAATATTAACTGGATTTGAAAAAAACTTCCCCCCTTTTATTTGCAAGAAGTAATTCTTTGGTTGCAAAAAATGAAGAGAATATTGACCTCAAGAATATTGACCTCAAAGAAGTTGCTATTCAAAGACACGATTTAAAAAATTTCTTTTCAGTTCACGCCAATTTATTGGAAGAAGTTTCACTAAAATGAACCAACTGCGTACCGCCTTAATTTCGTTTCATCTCTATTAACAAATTTATTTGCGGAAGTGAGAACTAATTTCTCCAGAATTTTCTTCCCAATGGCGGTCATTAAAAAATAAATTACAACTTGCCGACGGAGGGAGCGCGTGGTTATCGTGGTTAAAAAAATGAAGGTAAATAGCGAATATAGTCAATAACAACGAAATTGCTATCCTGAGGTTCAATGTAGCGATTATGGATTCATGTTTTCCTTCACAGCTATAATGTAATGCATTAACTTGAGATGCAACGAAATCTACATGGTAAAATAAAGTAGATTTTGCAACTTCATCATCATATTGCATTGGTTGCGAAACATGAACGATATTTGGGTGTGCAATTTTTTTTAAATACAACTTCAAATTATGAGTAAAGCTTTAAGTGATTTAAGATATGTGACTTATAACGTCGGTAATGTTGCAAAGCAGACTCATTACTTAATAATGAAGCTTCATTTAAAAGTTTTTCCACTTGAAATAAGCCTTCACTGAGAGTATCTGGAGCGTCATTGATGAAAATTTTACTTACTTGGTATGTCGATGAGAAACAGTTCACATAAAAATGATGTAGCAAATAGAGTAGGGTTGCAGGAGGTTTAGATTGAATAATCGATGCAAGTCTCGGCGTTGACGGGAGATTGATGACCTCGAAAGGTAAATGTTGAAACGTGGGGCCACATTGAAGCGCTCGAAAATTTGGAACTCTCCCTTCGACATCGCGTCACCTCTATTTTGCAAAGTCAACTTCTGATCAGTCGCACTATCCTCTTCTTAAAAATGAAAAAGCCATCATACTATAATTGCCAGAGAACTGGTGGATTAAAATTGATAACAAATATTGAAAGCGCACTTATGAACGTTAGTGAGCACATAGGGCATTCTGGAGGCCAAACAACGAAGTGCGAAGTGAATCAATTAATTTCAATGCTCGGTGTCCATATGCAATATAAGTTTACCTATCCTTTCAAATAAGTTATAACTTTTCTAGTTCGAATTTTAATTGCATCATTTTGTGCCGTTAGTTGCGTTGAAACTAATTCTAATTTAAACTATCAAAATTATTGGGTAAAAGGATTTTTTATAAAAGGATATGCACATGTTCTCCTGCAGCCTTAATTTGCGTGTTATAAGCAAACAACTCGGATCAGAAATTTGAGCTCTCGAATATCATTAGTAGATAAGCCGTGACTTCTGTCAGAAAGATTTCGAAGTATGTCTTCTTAAAATATGCCAACCTCATTATTCTTACATGTGAGAACAACCTAAAACGCTTCCTCAGGCCTCAGCTTGGAAAAACAAACTGTGATATCAGATGTCATTTCCGGTAGCTGCCCAAGTCAGCGAGCAAAAATCTAGGAGCCAAACTTTAACGTCAAAAGAGTTTAATCGTTTTTCTTGAACAAGAAGAATACAAGGCATGTGATTTAGTGAACAACAGTGCCATGACTGTTTGATTAGCCGCCTTTAAATTCTATTGTGACGCACATTGAAACATTCCAAGCCGCTATGTGCGGCCATAATTATAGTTAAATTCGGAGCAACCACGAAGCTGAGTTACAGTAACGTGCCATCATCATAGCTCCTACAAATCAAGCAGTAGCGCACTTTATGCAGGTTAATATAACTAATTGCACAACATTAAATATGAACAGCCTCATAAATTCAGCAAAAGGGTGGAATTCAGCACCTCGTTGAAGCTTGATGGGGCTGTGGTGCAAGGAATAAGATAGTGATCACTTTGTCTGAGTTGCCAACTGATTACATATTGTAAAACTATAATCTGAACAACAATTTCTAACGTTTACATAAGAAACAATCCGAATAAATTATTCTGTGAAGGATCAATTGCGAGTGATAATATTTATACACACTAACTTTAGTTGGCAGGCTAGAACAATACACATTTTTTTGCATTAAAAAAAGCTAAATAAGCCAACTAACAGCATTTTAATTTAGAGATAGAGAGTGTTGAAGCCTTCCAAATAAAAGGCTTAAAAGCGAGAACAAATTTCGAAATAAATCCCTAATATGTAAATTAGGTTTTCCAGAGCCCTGACAAGTCTAAAACACATTATTACAGCGTTAACTGGGCAATTTGCATGACTGTTTACTTCCATGAACTACCGCAAAATTCATGTTAATTTGAAAATCTGGCATAGATCGCAGGGCTTCGACTCATTGTCTAAGATAAATAAGATTGTAAATCAAGCAGAAATTGTCTAGCAGTAAACACCAATTATACATTTCGGTTGGTATTTCTTACGATTCTAATTGCATGGCAACAGGTCGTATCTTTTTCATGAATGGATTTTAAAAACAAATTCCCAGTTGAAATTACCGTCTATGCATAACTAACACATTAATTCAATTTTTCTCCAAAAAAATCATAAACAATCTATCCATATAATCTACAAATTTTGCAGGAATAGCAAGATCTCAGTCGAGCTATATGTAGAAATATCACCGCACTTTCTATTGTCTGACAAGTTGTCAGACAATAGAAAGTGCGGTGATATTTCTGTAGCTTACCTGAGATATCATTATTCCTGCATAATTTGTAAATTATGAGTGACAACAAGCCTCACGTATAGCAGAAGCGCTCTTGTGATGTGCCGAACTGGTTCCAAATTACTCTCGCTTAAAAAAGGACATTGGAAGCGCCGAGAATGTTCTCAAATATATGAGACAACGCGGCTGAATATTCATTCATAGAGACAGGCGAGTTTCGACTGCAAGAGATTCCTCGCCTAATTTGAATGATGCCTCAAATTGAAATACCCTCTTTTTTCCTTAACGAGATTGAGGAATACGTTAAAGGTTAGAATGATGCACGTTCAATGTAAATTGTTAATTCCGAAGAATGAAATATTTGTCTGAATTGACACATTTTAGTGCGTTTCAAAAACAAATTACGAATCACCGGGAGAAACGTTTTGCCTAATTTTTTATAATAATAAATTCGAATTCCTAACAATACTAACATCATTATTTTAGTAAAAGTGCACTCCGTTATTCAC